AGCAGCAGATAATAATTGATGACTACATGAGCAGAGGAGTATTTGGCCACACAAAGCATTTTCGGCATACAAGTCACTCTCTTTTTGACTAATCATTACAAGCTCCATGAGGTGAGTTCTCCCTTCTTAGAGGATCTTGGAGAATGACAGTGTGACCATGTAGGATTGTGATTGCTGTTATAGTGGAGCGGAGGATTCAGGAGCTGGAAACTGCTGAGTTGTACTCCAGTGCTGAAAATCATCAATCAATCAGTCAATTTTATTTATAAAGCCCAGTATCACAAATCACAATTTGCCTCACAGGGCTTTACAGCATACGACATCCCTCTGGGAGAGCAGGTTAGATTTATTTATTTTATTTATTTTTTTTTTTTTACCTTTTATGCTCATCTGATGTCTGACCCTGGATCACTCATGGAAATGCAGAATAATGTGGTAACTCTTTGGAATGTTCATGCTAGTGAAAGGCTCTCCTTAAATCTGTCTTCACTCATTCAACTCACACTCATGCAATAAACTCTGGTACGCCATCCCCATTCCCCTCTCCACCCATTGCTCAAACTGGATTCTTTTTCTTTTTCTGTTTTCTTAAACATGAAATGGCTTAAGTTTGTTAAAGAATGTTGTGTTTAATTGGTTTCTGGTGACCTGATTAATAAAAATAAAGTGTGAAATAATAACTTGTTTGAAACCGCTACTTGACTTGATTATTTGTTATTTTGTAGCGTGGGGCATATAAGGCCTAGGCTGCTCCCCTGAACCCTAATTGGCTGGCTTAATTGCTTGTCTGGTTCCCAACTAATTTAATTAATCACAATTAATCATTGCAATAGTCCATTTTTTGTTCTTTTAGGCCTTGTTCTGGTTATGCCACATCCTCATATAATTTAAACTCAGAAGAGCACAGCAAAAGGGAGGAAAAGGAAGGCCTCCAGTTTACTGATAACTATTATGGAAACAACTACAAAGCAAGTTTCTCACGCACAAATTAAAGCTCTTCAAGGACGCAGTTTACTTCAGGTACAATAAGGCCTTACACACTGAAAAGAGGCAAAATATTACATGTCTTTATATGGTAATAACAAATTTTGTTCCTACAACAATGCAGTGAGATTTAATTAAAAGTACTTTGAATATATAATATAAAGGTTTTTTTTGTAATTTAAAAGCATGTGATCCATTATGTTAACTCAAGGAACAGTTTGACTCAGCAACATTCACTTGTATCGGAATAATATTTGGTCAGGAGTATCTCTACACTGACTCAAGAAATAGAGTTGTGCAATTTGTCTACAACTTTTGGCAACTAATTCTGAATAATTTTATATTAGTCCTTCTTTATTAAACAATTGACTCACTAGAAAACCACTTATCATAAAATACTAAAATACTGACTTGTTCTAATATCAAATACTGTAGTTGTTCCAAATATAACATATCTGCTTAAATAAATAACATGTTGTATACTCACCTTTCAAAATAAGTGTTCCTCAAAGGATTCTTCAACTGTTTGGTAGAGCCCATTTTAAGTCACTGTGTCTTCATGAAAAATGTGTTAAAGGTAACTCTACCTGATTAAAGGGATAGTGCACCCAAAAATGAAAATTCAGCCATTATCTACTCACCCATATGCCGATGGAGGCTCAGGTGAAGTTTTAGAGTCCTCACATCCCTTGCGGAGATCAGCGGGGGGAGCGGCTAGCACACCCAATGGCTGACGGATGAATGCCAACGGATGAGGAAAGTCTTTGCTGCTCAGACTGGGAATTGGCGATGCCTGCACTTGAGAATCTGGACATCAGTACTGACGAGACTGCTGCTCTTCAGAGACCGTGCATCGCCGATCACCCTGAGCACGCATACGTGAGCGCGGAGCACAGAGAAGCAGTCACAGCTACAGGCTACAGTGAGGCTAAAAACAGAGTTCAAATGACGTTTTTCAAAACAACTTTTTATGTCAGGGCTTCAGGACACTTGGATCACTACGGATGAGCATGTTGGAGATATTTTGTGGTTTCAATTTTGTATTCTTGGACGTTAGTCTGGGGCGCCGTCAGCCATTAGGTGTGCTAGCCGCTCTCCCCGCCGATCTCCGCAAAGGGATGTGAGGACTCTAAAACTTCACCTGAGCCTCCGTCAGCATATGGGTGAGTAGATAATGGCTGAATTTTCATTTTTAGGTGCACTATCCCTTTAAGCTGTCTCTACCATTTGGTGTAGGTCTGTTATGCTAACAAAAATCCACTAGATGTCGGTGTGTCTTTAAATCCTATGCCTTTGCAGTTCTTGCAGTTTGCCTCCTACAGGAAGTTGGCAACAAAAAAACGTGACTCCAGACATGAGGGCCCTGTATGGTGGGATTTTCAGAGGTAAACATGTTTTTTGACATGTTACAATTGCAGAGGTTTTACTGAACAGATTTATGTTACTTTACAAGGGTCAAATATTTTCTTTAAAAACATGCACTACCAAACGGTTCATTTGTTCTTCTATGGCAAAAGGTTGTGAAGATAAGCCAAACTGACTATTAAAACCGACTATTTGCTATGAAATCAAACACATCTGATCATTCATTTTTATTAAATGATACATTTATTGTCAGTCAGATTAGTATATATATATATATATATATATACACACACACACACACACACACACATACACTGTATATACTGAAGTCTTTTTTTTCTCCCCCTTCAACTTTATTGCAAAGATACAAAGATACGGATTACAGGGAGTTTAAGAAAAGTATATGACAGCACATTAAACAGGAAATAAATAAAGGAGCCAGGGGTACATTACATTATACAAAAACATTAAAAAATTTAAAGACATTAATTGTTCTCACAGCCTTTTTGTTTGTTCGAGCACTCTCACATACCGTTCAACCTCCTTCAGGAAAACAATAAAACAGGGTTTACTACAACTGAATTTACACTTAAGGATAAAAAACTTGGCTAGAATCAATATCACATTTATTACAAAAAATACATTGTTTTCTTTTCTGGGATTCTTGAGAAAACCAAACACCACATTTTCCTAATATAATGTGAAATTTTCAAAGATATTGTCAATAATGAATCTAGATAGGTCTTGCCCAAAATTTCTTGGTATAGGACAATGCCAAAATAAATGTAGAACTGTTTCTGGATCTCTAACCATACTTTCCTCCAGCATATGTCATTTACAAAGCGATTCCAGTATGCCGTGACATATGGAATAGAGACAATATCTCTTTGAAATAGGGCACGAATGGCTCTATTATTTTTTTGAGGGCGTAATGAAAAGCAAATTTTTCCTGTGGAGGAGTCAGCTGTGTTGGGTAAAGATATACATTGAGGTGTGGGCCTTGAAGCATTCCTAAAAAGCATCAAGGTTCCTGTTGGAATGGCATCAAAAATTATAGCAAATTACTTAGGGGTTGCTGGGAATTTGTGTATAGATAGAAATTCTTCGTAAGTAAGTAAGAGACCATCACATTAAACTGACTTACCAGTAAAATCTGATTCTGAACCCATCTCTCAAAGAACAGTGATTTATTTTTTAACAAAATGTCTCTATTGTTCCAAATCAGGTAACTGTGTGGTGAGAAATTGTGCTTAAAGACCATGCTAGAAGGACCTGTTTATGAAATGCATACAATTTCACAGGGAGTTTATCAATATTGTAATTACAACATAAAATAAAACTTAGGCCACCAAAGCTAGAGAAAATGTGATCGGGAATAAAGTTCTATATCGAAGTGGGTTTTTTTTTTTTAGAAAATGCTTAGTCCAATTGATCTTGAAAGTATTATTTAGTGTAGTAAATTCCAGGAAATTGAGCCCACCAGATTCATAATTATTCATAATAACACTTTTCCTTATATAATGTATGCGATTTTTCCAGATGAAATCAAAGAGCATTTTATCTATCACTTTACTGGATTTAGTGTCAAGATGTAAGGAAAGAGCCGCATATGTGAGTCTAGATAGTCCTTCTGCCTTAGTAATTAAGACTCTTCCTTTCAAGGATAAATATCTCTTTGTAACCACTGATTTAATTTATTTTGATTTTTTTGAATAATAGGAGTAAAGTTGGAAGAGCATCATGACTTTTGGTCTTTAGAAATAGACCCAGATACGTTACCTCTTTCTTCAAAGGGATATTGCACAAAGCGTGTTCATTACCGTCCTTAACCAGAAGCTTGAGAAAACTCATTAATCAGATAAAGGTTAACGGGTATCTGACTAGCATTTTTCAAAAACAGTGTTGTTTCATCAGCCAGCTGACTGATTATTATATCCCTATTAGCTATGGAGATCCCTTGTATATCACTATTGATGATATGAGATGTGAGAATTTGTGTGCAAAGTAAGAAGAGAAATGGTGAGATAGGACAACCCTGACAGATGCCACGATTCAAATAAAATCTCTGGGTTGTGCCATATTTCAATTTTATCGAGCTGTTACTGTTGGTATACAAAGTTTTAATAGCTTTACAGAAAAATTGCCAAAGCCGAATTTTTCAAGGGAGTGGAATATGGATTGATGCTCTATTGAATCAAAGGCCTTGTAGAAATCCGGAAAGAGAATGAAACTTTCTTCATGTATCAATTCAGAGTAATCGAGAATGTCTAACACAAGTCTAATATTATTAGAAATGTGTCTATTTTTCATAAAGCCAGACTGCGACTCATCAATAATTGAATCAATGACTATTTTAAGTCGTTTGGCAAATATCAAAGCGATAATTTTATAATCATTATTGAGCAGACATATAGGTCTCTAATTTTCAATGAGAAGCAATCTTTTTGACCTTGAGTGAGGGTAGGAGGGAGAGCATTATTACTTATACTTTCTGAGAAAACCTGTAACAAGAATGGGGCTAGCTGCTTTGAGAAGGATTTATGAAATTCTGCAGTTATGCCATCGGCATTTAAGTCGTCAGACGTTTGTACTTGTTCTACCAGGCGTTTATTTTGAAAGTGCAACCGGAACAGTGCAGCATTGGCACATCGACCGGTGGAGAGAGGAGAGCGAGTCTGGACGGAGACGATGAGAGCATATGAAAAACTGTCAGTAACATTACTTCGAAAAATATCAACCATGTCTACTGCTTTTTACATCTGCCTTCTCTTCTTGTGGCTCCAAACCAACGCAGGTAAGTTATTTTGCTGGCTAGCATGCTAACGTTCGTCCGGTTGTTTTCCAAATTGTTAAGGGTAACGTTAACGTTAGCTATTTTGTCCACTGACTGTGGTAGTGGTAACGTTAGCTAACGCTAAAGTGAAGTTCTCCCAAGATACAAACCATAACTACACCTAGCGAAGCTACAGGCCTAACGTTAACTGTCAGCCTCCCTAGCAGTGTACTGTCATTTGAATTAAAGAACCCCCCCGTGTCTTAAGTAAGTTGGTGGCGTATTAACCTGTTTTCTGTCTGTCGAAGTCAAGCATCGCACGCATTTATTACTGTTAGCTAATCGCGCAGTAATATGTGTGTAACTGCTGCACGTTAATACAACTGCAAGCTCTGTTCGGTTTGCTTACATTTAGCTGAAACGCAAACTCTGGTTAGCCTGACATGTACAGAACATAGACGTGCAATGTTGAGGTTCTTTATTGGCTAATATGGTCAGAAAAACCGAAAGTATCGTTATTGAACAATGACCTTCTCAGTGTGTGCTTCATGTCAGTAACGTTATAGAAGTAACATGCTTAAAAATAGAGATAAAGGTTTAGAATAGCTTCGACAATTTGAGGGATGAAAGAATGTTCACTCAAACAGTGCAGTTTGAAAACAGTCATTAATGTCATTATATAGGTCATGGACAGTGGAAAATGAATGTATTGTTGAAACTTCAAGAATGCAGATAAAGGTTATCTGTGGCTTCATATGTGCTCAAGTTAGAATTGACAACATTCATTCAAATCTTATTAGCATGATTGTATAAGAAAATGTTAAAGCTACATTGTATTTGACTTTGTAAACAGTGTAATAAGAATTGTTTAGGTCAGGTTGTCTTGGTTCAACATCACTTCCTGATCATTTTTAGCATTGTTTTCACTTGTGCCATTGCTCTCTCTCTCTCTCTCTCTCTCTCTCAAATTCAAATTCAAATTCACTTTATTGGCATGAATGTTAGAAGAACTATGTTGACAAAGCATCAAGAATCAATTAAACAAAACAAAAAATACAATTCGTAAATGAAATGAAACTTAAAATAAAATAAAATAAATAATAAAATACAATAAAAAGAATAATATGTATGTGTGTGTGTGTGTGTGTGTGTGTAAGGATTAATAAGATTGGGTATTATTGGGCAATTACAAGTTGTCATATACAATGAAAAACATATATACACATAAAGTTCATATTAAATGATATAATAATAATAATAATAATAATAAAATAAAAAACAACAATATTATATTATAGCAATAATGGTTCTGATCAGCATTTGCGTGTTTCTCTGGTATCATGGCAGAGTGTTACATATTGTGCAGCTAATTTTATAAATTGTGTATCTTCTCCCAGACATACTTTTAATAGTTCATCACATTTTTTTCCCTGATATGATGTATCTGCTGCAGTTATCTGCTGTAGGAAAGCCTCTCTCTCAGTTTGGTACAGGGGGCAGGAGAGGAGAAAATGGGCCTCAGTTTCTATTTCTCCTGAGGAACAGTGTTTAAATACTCTTAATTCTCTGGGCTTCCATTCTTTCTTATGCCGACCTTTTTCAACCTGTAGTTGATGGTCAGTGAGTCTGTACATTGTCAATGTGCGTCTCTGTTTGGGGTTTTTTATGCTGACCAGATACTGTGCTGGAGAATATTCTCTATCCAGTAAGCCATAGCATTCTAATTTATTGATGGATTTGATTTGATTCTTCCAATTGTCAATGTAAGTAATTTTATTCTCTTTGTCGATGCCAGGTGAGTTTTGGAGAGATTTTGGAGGTCTTGGATTTTGAGGTGGCAGGTTTCTCTGGTGTTTCTCAGAGGGTCTGTCTCTGGACAGATGCTGTTACTGAGAAAGGCTCTGTGATGATAAGAATCAGGATCAGCTTGTGCTAAGTGAACCTGGAACTTAATTGACCTTTTGATCATGTGTAGAGAGAGAGGGAAGTGTCCCAGCTCTGCTCTACATGCATGGTTTGGACAGTTTCTGTGGACCTTGAGGATTTCCTTGCAGAATTGAAGATTAAATTTCTCTGTGGGTGTTGTGTCCCATGAGGTGTGCCTCTGGGTAATTAGAGGGCCCCATACTTCACTTCCATACATAAGTATGGGTTTGATTACACTGTTAAATAGTTTCAGCCAAATTGAAATTGGAGGATTGAATTTATATAGTGAACTTTTGATGCTATAGTAGGCCCTGCGTGCCTTTTCTGTGAGGGAATTTATTGCTTTGTCAAAGCTGCCAGATGCACTGATGATGATGCCTAGATAATTATATTCCATTGTATGCTGAAGTGTGGTCCCTCTTACACTGAAATCATGCTTTGATTCCTGTAACCTGGCCTTTTTTTGGAATACCATGACTTTGGTTTTGTCAAGATTGATCTCTACCGCCCAGTTTTGACAGAAGGTCTCCAGCAGAGAGAGGTTCTGCTGTAGACCATGTTCTGTTGGGGACAGTAGAACCAGGTCATCTGCATACATGAGGAATTTAATTTCTTTGCTTTGTAGATCTAATCCTGGGCTTGGGGACTGTTCAAGAAGAGTGGCCAATTTATTGATATAAATGTTGAACAGAGTAGGAGACAGGTTGCACCCCTGATGCACCCCTTTTCCTTGTTTGAAGAACTCTGTTCTTTTGTTTCCAATTTTAACACAGCACTGGTTGTCAGAATATTTGGATTTGATTAGATCATATATTTTACCCCCAATTCCATATTGTAGAAGTTGTAAAAATAACCCATTGTGCCAAATTGTGTCAAAAGCCTTTTTTAGATCTACAAAACATGCAAATATCTTACCTTTGTGTTTTTTGTGAACATGCTTTTGGATGAGTGTATGGAGAGTGTAGATGTGGTCAGATGTTTGATGTTTTGGTAAAAAGCCAATTTGGCTTTTAGACAGAATATGATGATCAGTGAGATATGTGATTAATCTGGAGTTAAGGATGCTACAGAAGAGTTTACTCAGGTTGCTGTTAACACAGATGCCCCTGTAATTGTTGGGGTTGTACTTGTCTCCATTTTTAAATATAGGAGAAACGAGACCTTTATTCCAAACACTGGGGTAATATCCAGTTGCTAACACCAGGTTGAAGTGTTTTTGCACGGCAAGTTGGAGTTTTAAATTACTGTGTTTCAGCATCTCTGAGTTACGCCGGATTTCCACTGGATGCGTGTCCGTTGCGGAACGGCAGCGCTGGTTATCCGCTGCGTGCTCCGCCGTCCGTCAATACCCACCGGCTGCGTTTGCTGTGCGGTGCGGTGCAGCTCTGCCGAAAGACATCTCGGTGCACTGCCATGATTAATATCTCCTCGTCCATGGTGTTCACGGGGTGAAATGACGTCTGAAAACCTCTGACCTGTTGACTTCAGGCCTGCCTATGCCCATTATGTAGTTTTTAAGGTGTAGTGCAGGGAAATATGATCCGCCGTGAACACTATGTATTTTATTTTGAAAATTAACCGGATGTTTTATTGTGTTTCTGTGCACGAGTTCCTGCCCCGCACGATCTGCTCTGTGCTGAATTGCTGCGTTGTGCTCCGGCGTCCGGCAAAAATAGAAGTCCTGCGTATCTGTTGCGGAGGGCTCCGGAGTGTTTTTTCAGTTTGTCTATTGTTACAATTTGGTTGGGATTCAGACCGTGACACTCTGGATTTTTATAGAGGTCATCAAAGTGATCTTTCCAGATTTTGCCATTTTGAATTGGGTTGGTCTCTGTACGTGGGTTTCTCTCTCTCTCTCTCTCTCTCAAATTCAATTCAATTCAAACAGCTTTATTGGCATGAACAGAAATATGTTGTTGCCAAAGCATTTTACAGAATATTTACATACAAACTTACAATATTACAATTCAGTACAATACAATATAATTTATACTGTTATGGTGAGTGAGTCTCTCAGGTTGTGGCAGGCAGATACATATTTAGCTGCCAGAGGAGTTGCTGTCCCTTCACCCAGCAGAACTGAAAGTTTCTCCTCTGGTGTTAACATATGAAAGTCTGTTATTTTCTTAACTATTTCCCCAAAGTGGAAGTTTCTCATTGAAGAAAACTTGTCGCAGTGGAGGAGGAAGTGCATCTCTGATCTCTCCTGTGGAGCAGTGACCACATACACGCTCCTCTCTGGGCAGCCACATCTGTCTGTGTCTTCCTGTCTCTACAGTTAGTTGGTGGTCACTGAGCCTGTATTTGGTCAGGATCCGTCTCTGCTTCGTATCTCTGACAGAGTGGAGATATTCTGCCAATTTATATTCTCTGTTCAGAGTCAAATAACAATTTGGTCCATTTTGAGTTTTTGTTTCATTTTTCCAATATGGTAAGTATAGATCTTTTGATTGATTCATAATTAGTTTTATTTTGTTGTGTTGTTTTGGAGCTGTGCTGATGGGAGTCTGGTTAGTTAGCTTCACCATCAGCTGAGTGAGGGGGCTGTTTTCAGGGTTCAGCTCTTGGGTTTTTAGTGCTTTGAATGGAAGTGTGTCTTTTGGACTTGTGTTTAGATGTGTCCAAAATGTTATTGCCCGTTTCTGAATATTAGGCAGTAATGGGAAGCGTCCCAGTTATGCTCGGCAGGCTTTATTTGGGGTTTTCCTCTGCACGTTTAGAATTTTTCGACAGAATTCAGTGTGGACGGCCTCTATTGGGTATTTATCCCATGAGCCATACTCCAATCCATTGAGTGTACCACAGACCTCACTTCCATACAAGGCTATTGGCAAAATTACATAGTCAAATATTTTTGACCATATTCTAACTGGAATGTCAATGTTGAATAATTTGTTTTGTAATGCATACATTGCCCTGCAAGCTTTTTCTTTGAGTGCATTTACTGCCATGTTGAAACTTCCTGATGCAGATATGGTCAGACCAAGGTAAGTATAATTTTTTGTGTGTTCAATTACTGTATTGTTTAAAGTAAAATGGTATTTGTTTCCAAGACATCTGGGCTTTTTTTTGAAATATCATAACTTGGGTTTTCT